CTGAGCTCCAGTCTGCACATGGAGCACTTGGTGACAGAGGTCTTATTCATCTCCAGAGCTGGGCGGATGCTTTCAAGAAAGCCACTGCTGTAGTTCAAATGGAGCTCGATATTCTGTGATGCTGAGAAGACTTCCATTAGGACCCGGAGCAGTGCTGGGTCTGCTGGACCCATGCTGGCCACTCTAACTTCCAGCCTAGGGATCTTGTACGGCTTGGGAGACAGTTTCCAGTAGCCAGCACTGATGTTGGGTGGATGCTGGAGTCGGTTATTCATAAAATTTCTCACTTTATCTTCATTTTCAGCCAAATTGTTCTCCCATTCCTTCATATGTTCAAAGGCAGATGCATAGTCCTCATCTATGGTTGGTCGTTGTAATGTTTCAAAACATTTTTCTATGACTGAGAAACCTGCTCTGGGTTGCATTTTATTTCCATTTATGGAGACTTTTACACTCTTCAACAGTTGCAGATTTTCTGGGTGGTCCCCAAAGTACTGTGAATTCAGTACTTTCAAAGCCAGTGTTCTCCCTTGAAGGAATTGAAAAATAAATGGAGAACATACAGCCACCGCGTTGCTTTCATAAGCAAAGTTGAGAGCAATGCTCAATAGATGTTCTGAAACAAATGAAGAGAAAGCTTCAGGAAATACCTGCCACAACCCCCTAACAAACTGCATCCACAGGGAAGTTTCTGGATGGAGCTTCACATAATCCTCATTTTCAGACATGTTCTCCAGCAGCTCTTTATCATTCACCAACTGAAGCAAATGAGATACAATTTTTGGCCCTGCCTTTGATGAAGGATGGCTACAGACATACTTCAAAAAATTGCTGTAGGTACCCACAGCCTTCAAGGGTGAGTTAATTTGTCTCAAATAACCAAGTCCCAGATCATGGTCTTCCTGCCTTTCTGAACCCAGGAGCTCAGTCAGCCTCAGGGCAGCAAGAAATTCTTGGAACAAAGGACTTAAGAACCGATAGACAGGTCTCAGTCTCTGGGCAGAGAATTTGCTCATCAAGCAGGTGGTCAGATCTTCATCTTCATCAACGCCTGCTTCTGTGAGGTCATCACTACTGAACTCAAAGCAAAATGAAAAAAGACCTCTCAAAGCCAGCTGGCCACATGAGGACACAGTGGCCTTGAGAGGCTCAGGTGTAGCCTTGTGTTTTAAGGAAAGGTATTTCATATAGGACTTGAAAGCTGCCACATCATGAAAGGACTGGTCAGAAGGATTTTGAAACCAGGCAGTACAGACTGCTGCCATAAAGAGAGGAGTTTTGTTAATTCCCTGTAAATCTATATTCTTTCCAAAGTAAACTATAAACTCTTGCAGATGTGAAATATTGTGGAAGAATAATTTCTGTAATACAGAGATGGTGTTATAGAAGGGAAACTCTTTGATCTCTAGAATTGTATCTAGATATGGGCGGATGTTCCTGGCCCTGTTTGTATGGACAGTGATCAATAAGCAGGTTCGGGTCAAGTAGTTTCTTGTAATCAGGGTTTTTATGGCTTGGGGCAGTGAGTCCATCCCATGATAGTCATCCAACAGGAACAGCACCTGGTGCTTTAACTGCTGGATGATGATGCTCAGGCACACTTCACTAATGCATCCTCCTGCCTCTAGGAGTTGGGCACAGATGATGTCAGCCAGCCCCTGGTCTGGTCTGGTGGAACCAAGGGAGATGTAGAAGACCAACTGGAACCTGTTCAGCAGGGGACAGCATCCTGATGCCCAGAGAAAAGCTGTTTTCTTCAGGAAGGTTGTCTTCCCACTGCCAGTTTCCCCCTCCACACACATGACGGAGTTGAGATTGCTGAGGACCTCAGGAAGCATCAAGGCCTCTTGCACTGGCCTGCTGATGTGCTTTGAAACCATGGACAGGTCACAACCAAGCAAGTGGTCAGTGCCGAGGCCGGAACACACCTCTGGCAGATTGATGTGGCGGAAAGTGGCCTTGGTGTAGGCTCCTCTCAGCTGCTCACTCAGACTCTTTGCCTCTTGAAACCACTGGGCTGCACTCTGAGCCAGGTCTGTGGAGAGGAGCAGGGAGAAGGAGGTGCATCTTCACATTTCTCAATCCTAATGTGATTACTTTGCCTGTCTGCTAAGGGTGGATCAGGACTTTCCACTTCCCAGACACCCATCCCCTCCCCAAGATCCTCTCAGATCCATCCATAGCATCAGAATGTGTGAGGGAAAAGTCTAAGGCTCCTCATTTGACAGGGATTCAGATATCCTGTCGTCCTAATTTCCCATTTAAGACCCCAGGAATCCGGCTTGCTGCAGGATGCCTTTAAGACGGGCTGGTTGGATCTGGCACAAGGACCGCTGTCACTAGTCCTGCATTCACTCTCAAGATGTCGCAGGAATGCTGACACTCTCTCACCCACAGTGCCCTCCATGTCAGTGCCCTCCTCTCTAGGAGCTCCTTGGACAATTATACATGCACTTTCCTTTCAAATCCCTGCATACAAATACACATAATTCCATGTTGCTTTCAAGTTCTTACCGGCCACCATAGAGTGAACAGCCACTGGATCGTCATGATTGCTTTCACCTGTGGTGTCCTTTGAAAGAGAAATCCTTTATTAAATCAAAACTTCAGCTTAAATCAAGATTGGGTACGATATTATCATTGACAATATAATCAATATTATCAATCAAATTGATAATACAATCAATCAAAACCCAACATCTTCTAAACACAGCCTACACTCAGTGCTGATTTAAGGAAGGAGTGCTCTAGATAGGAAAGAATAAATCTCATACATCTGCAAGATTGTGTTCCTAGACAGTACATGCATGGGATATAGATCTTCTCTATGGGTGAGTGCTGTGTGGGTGATCAAAATTGTAGAGTCTGGAACAAGAATGGCCCTACAGAAAGCATTAAGCATTGCCTTCATCCTTGGTTATTAGTAACTATATATGTAATACCACATACTGGGAGGGAAAAAGGTTATTATGCATGCACACACAGTTTTTTTTTTAAATATTCTCTTTTCTGAGACAAGGTTAAAAGTAGACTATGGGGATCCTCCGTGTAGTGGGTAGCCATTCCAGCTTAGATCTGGAAGTTCCAACCCCCATTGAGACTCTGGCAACTGTCATGCCTCTGAGGCAGGGCCAAGGGAGGCACCTGGAGACCGGAGACCTGGATGGGCAAGCGCTTTCTCTGTGCCGGACCCAAGACGGTGGAGGTTGACTGAGCAGAGCTCCAGAGAACACCGCTGGACTTCAATACACCTTCCCCAGACCCAACAACCTACCTTTCCCTTTTTTGTAAGTTACCCACTAAATAAATCTTCTTTTTAACTACGTTCAGTGGCCATAATAATTTCACCAATACCTCCGTCTATTTCCCATGTGCTGGGATTAAAGGCATGAATCATAACACCTGGCTTCAATGTCTTGCTTTTTATTTTTGCTTCTGTTTTGAGACAGAGTCTTGTTTAACCTAGACTGGCCTCAAACTTAGTATGTGTCTGACCAGGACTTTGAACTTCTGATCCCCCTTCCTCCACCTCCCATTGCTGTGATTCCAGGTGTCCCCACCACACCCAGTTTGATCAGTGCTGAGGAAACACAGGACTTCATGTGCACTGGGCATCCCCAGGGACTGCAATGTCATTTGAAAATGACAAATACAAGAGGTTAATCAACTGAACTGAGTTGTTTCTCTCTTCTTTTCCTTTCCTTCCTCTGTTTTTGTTTTGTTTTTTGATAAGGAGGCTCATATTTATGGGCCGCCTTAAACTTATTGCCAGCCTTGAACTCATGGCAAATTCTGCCTCAGTCTCCAGAGTTCTGGGCTGCAGGCATAGGGCATCATGCCAAGCTTTGTTTCTTTTGGGGGATGACAAACATAGTGTACTACCATACTACCTCCAAGTGAGGAAGTGTGTGTGACTGACTATTCAACTGATAGTTTGTATCCCTGAGAGATGTAGGGTTCAAACTATTATCTGGGTTACAATTTTGCTAGGCATAATTTTTGTTAGGAAACACATCTACAGGTCGGTGATGTAGGTCAGTTACAGACTCCTTGCCTGCGTTTCATCTCAAGCACTACAAGAAATAAAGCAAAACAATAATAAAAAAAACTCAGCTATGTGTGTTGGCACACAGACCTACAATCCTAACACTTGAAAAGGTAAAGCAGGAGGATCACAAATTCTAGGCCAGTCTGGGGTACATAGTAAATTCAAGGTCAGCCTAGACCTCATACTGAGAAACTGTCTCAAGCAAAAAACTAAACAAACAAAATGAAATATACCTCAAAGATCTCTCAATACCAAGTAGGAAGTCAAGCCTACTGTCTAAAGATCACAGATGAGATCCACTGAGCTCCAATGCCAGTCAGGTCTAAACTGGAAAGAGTCTGAAGAATCCCGGAGGAGAAGGGATCGCACATTCGTAGAGCTAGGTATTGACTTCTGTTCACTGTGATGCCCTGTCTATAACCATCAGGTGGTAGTTGTTAGTAAATAATTGTGTGACTCATTTAATTCTGTATTGACAAAGGGCAATTGCTGTTCAGAACAGTGTTCAACCACAGGACCATGTACTGTGAGTCAGAGAAGGGGGCAGTGTCCATTACCGTGACCTCTGGAAGTGTGCCGTGGCTCTGAAGGTCAGGAATCACTTCTGCAGAGGACTTCAGGTTTTGGAGAAAGAGACAGCTAAACAGAGAAGACAAAAATAATAAAATAGTTCCATGCAAGTAGGCGTTTTCATTAGGTTTTAACACAGACACAGAAACAATAATGAAGTAGAAAGCTAACGTTTTCAGTGACTCTGCCAGCATTTTTATCATATACGACTTTCACAGCCAGGCAGTGGTGGCTCACAATTTTAATTTCAGCACTTGGGAGGCAGAGGCATATCTTTGTGTGTTCGAGGCCAACATGGTCTACAGAGTGAGTTCCAAGACAGATAGGATGACACAGAGAAACCCTGTCTTGAGAAAAAAATAATAAATATATATATATTCACACGTTGACTTTCAACAACTCAGTGCATGTGGTTTGTGAAGTGAAGGTGAGAATACGCAGAGAACATGGTGGAGTGAACACATAAATGTAACTATCTGATGTGCAGGATATCTGATATTCAACCCCTGTGATAGAGTCCTTTGACCCCCTAAGGGGTCAACACCCACAGGTTGAGAACCCCTGCTCCACAGGGTTAACATACATAATGGTGGGGGAGGCAGGGCTCCAGGCTGCAGAGCAGGACGCTGGTTGATTACATCTCTGTCCACACACAGGAAACAGAGAGAGCTAACAGGAAGTGTAGTAAGGCTATAAATACTCAGAGCACACTTCCAGTGACTTACTTCCTCCAGCAAGGAGGAAATAGTCTTCCCAAGCAATACCATAAACTGTTGACCCAGTGTTCAGATAGATGAGGCCATGGGAGACATTGCTCATTCCAAGCACCACAACCATACATGTAAATATCTGGGGTACTAACACAAAGACAGTTGTAATTTAAAACAAAAAAGAGGTAGAAAGAGGGGAAAAAAAGCACTTTTTTTCACATAAAGATTGAGTTGATAGATGTTTTTAGAAAAAGTTCTAAATAAAACTAGATTGTATCTTAACTTACCAGCCCAAAGGATTAAGAAGGCCTTGTACTCACAATTTCCTACCTACTACATCCAAATAAAAAGAAAAAAGTGAGCACTGCTCTCCAGCATCTTCAGACCTCACACCGAGAAGGAAATAGTCCTAGTTAGGGAGGTTGAGACAGATCTCACTCTGTAGTCCCAGCTGGTCTCCAACACGTGACCCAAAGAGGGGGGCTAATGGGACTGAGAGGAGGACAAGAGGGGGTGACAGGAGGATGGTGGTGACCATAATCAAATACACTGTGTACATGCATAAAAATGTCATAATATCATTATTATTACTTAAAACTTATTAAAACATTACTTAAAACTAATATCTAGTAACAACCACACTTTAGAAGACTCTTTCTAAGGATTTGTCCTATTATCACCTTTCTATCTCATAAACAGATAACTGATTTTAAAAGTAAAACAAATTAGACTTCAGTTCTTCTAACATCAAACTAACGTAGTCCAATTTCACTTGGACTTTGGCTGTACAAAGGACTCCTGTGGAACTAGTCAGAGAACA